AACCGCTCTTCATAGGACTGCAAACCTGTATCACTTCCCATAGGACGCATGGAAATGGATCCAGTCTCTCACCTGCCATGGTTCAACAAACACCCTTGCTGCGCTTCACTTAGCCTTGGTCGACGGAGGCACCCAAGGCATATATCTGGTAACTGACGGCCGACCCAACCAGCCTGTTGAGACATTAATTAGCCAAATGCGCTTCCATTATGCCAGAATTCCAGTTCACTGCATCAGCTTCAATTGCCAAGACGCCAAAGCCAACCAATTTTTGCTCCAACTGGCTAAAGAGACAAATGGTCGCTTTCACTACTTCAACGAGGCCGAGGCAGGCCAAATGCCTTCGTCGGAATGGGAAGTGAGTATCTTAATCTGCCTAACTTGTGGCCATAGACCTATGAGGATTTTATAGCAACACAAATAGTTTCTTATTTCTTTTTTAAAATGGTGTAGCCATTACTCTTAGACTTATCACCTTTTCGATTAACTTTCCTGCAATTAAATGGGTATTACATTGTATGATATTACTTGAGTAAGATTCCTCTTGAATCGTCCTTAAATATTTGTCCCCAATGTCTGTTCTATCTTAGTTTCAAGGCAATTGACTCTCTTAAATCATTAATACCCTATTACTTTTTCTTGATAAAGACAATTTGAGATCAGCATATCATTAATTATAGAGAGTTAATTAAGGCTAGATGATTGCCAAATTATTTTTTCCACCTGCACCACATAAGATATTAAACTATTCGACGTACTACAAGACCTACCGCTCTTAAATTTATTCAGGACTTTTCGACTAACAGGCGATAAAAGATCTTAGGGGTTTTGATTTAAACATCTATAACAGCTATAGGCGGTTAATTATTGTACAGACTTTGTCAGCATTTAATATATTAGAATAGTAGTATTAGATATGGGACTGGAATTTCGGCTGTTGGTACTTTTTTTTATTTTCCATATACTCACTGAAAAGTTAGATTCACTATCAGTAATATCATTGTTCACATTTTATTTAACGTTTATAAATCTTATCTTTACAAACTCGCAATTCAGAGTGAAGATCTGCATCTCTTACGCCGAGAACACCAATTTGGCATGGATAGCATTGACCGTCTTGGTCTCCTTGTAGAAGAATGCAGCCGACTTGCTTGGTCAGGCGTCCGTCACTCCTCTTTTACAAAGACTCAACAACAGAACCGGGAACTTACTAAATGCCATCATCAACGGCAGCCAAAAAGCCAATCAGCACTTAGTTGCCATCACCGTACCTCAACCCTAATTCCCTCCGAATGGCTTTCTTATCCAGTCCCTTTCGAACCTAGTGCCTATCACTTAAATGTTGAGTCAGGTTGGGATAATCGTTCCTGTCGGGTATCCAGCTTCAAATCATTGGAAACTACAACTTCTAACGATGAGCTACTGGAGCACAAGGAAGCTAGCCTTCTGGAAAAGAGTAACTCATTGAGAGGAGTGAAGGGGACTAACGGTAGGGGAATTGAGGAAGAAAGTATGGCTAATTGGACAGCTTCGGAAAAGTATGTTTGCAGTAATGGACCCGAGGAAACTGTTAGTGAAGTTGCTGAGCCTCGGAAGTCGGATCCATATATTCGTGCTGTTTCATCAACATTTCATAGATCGACTTCGCCCGCTTCTGGTTTCGAATTGCCAATACCGATTCCTCCAGAGAGAACATCTTCAGAGACAGTAAGACAGAGGGAAGAATATGACTGTGCTCCCAGTACTTCTCAAAAAGACAGGCCTGAATGCATGTCTAGAGAATTATGCAAATCAGCTATCATTGATGATACTGGTATGATTTAAAGTTGTATTCGAAAATTTTAAAGAAATATCCATACTAAAGGCAATATCATCTTGGTCTTCATACCTTTGATTGTACTTACATATGTATATTTTATATTACACATTATATTTATATTTCTTAAGCTTCGAGACTTTCAGTAAATCCCAAGTCAGAACTTGAATCAGTCTAGGCCGTTTAATGTGCCATTTTTATTATTTATAATCACATGAACTTAAACAGTCATTCATTTTATCACCTTAGGTGACCTTGTGTGACTTTGGGCGACCAAGCTCTTATTCAAGCTTTATTGATAATCTCAAAGAAAATCTACGAATATGTAGGATATTTCATTGTAATATAAAAAATGTTGCCTCATCCACATCCAACTATGAATATAATATGAAAGAAGTCTGGCTTATTTTAAAAGTCACATATACCCTATGGCCCAATAGCACTCATAGTAGTGTCATCCCATGGTAACGCATCTCCAATTTATGTGCACAACCAGCTTTCGATTCTCTTAGTAGGTACTGGTGATACCAGCACCTGTTGAATTCGAAATTGCGGTTTACCCTAGTTAAGAAAACCTTAATTTAGTATCAGTAAGGCAATATGTAGACTTTTTTAGTGTGGGTAGTCAAGTTATCTAGGTCATTTAAGTGACCAATTCTTCATCCCGGAATTAAATTTTCGTTAATCGTAGGCTTTTGATAATCTTGTTCATTATTCTGATTCTCAGTCTTTAGTTGTGAGAAAATTGTAAATTCAATATTACTTCAGTCTTATCACAACTACAGACTCTAGAACGGAATAATGAAAAGCATTATTATAAGGAGACTACGATCCACAGATATGGAATTCGGGGTTGAGGAATTGGACAAATTGACTCGAATATTTCTCGGTAACGGAAACCCGAGATAAATAATACTAAGAAACCTAGAGAATATCAGGACTGAGATTATCAAATGAAAATAAGGAGTCAGAAGGACCCACAAAAGTGGATATGCCTATCTTTATGAGAACTATCTAAAACTTTCGAACATTAGTAAGAAAATGGACATTCTGTTGATCAAAAAATAAAAAAACAACACTACAAGTTTATCTACGCAAC